CAAAAGTAGCAACCGATCGGACTAATGATTGGGTAGACTCTGTTAGTTCATAATCACCTCCTGACGTTGCCAGCGCGCCAGTTTTCCTGGCCTTCACTCCTGTACCATTTTCGTCAGAAACGACGACTTCCGCACACCTCGCTCATGCAATTCACACCAGTAATAGTCAAAACCATGAGCACACAGCATTGAGTGACCCTGGAATATATACTCATGGACATCGGGCCATGCCTCAATTTGGCAGTGCAAGCCTTTTGCCATTGCAAGCTTCTGTTCCATCTGTTTCATTCCCAGCTAACAATATGCATTCTAGAGCATTGCACACGTGTTACCACCACCGTCTGCTGTTCTTTTACAGACCATGAGTTCAAACATAACGGTTCTGATTTTGTTTCTTTGTCACCTGTATTTGCTGGTGCTGGCTTCTCATATTCTGGAGTAAACCCACCGCCGGTTTTCTTTTCGGTACCTAATTGCCATGCAGCGCCAGTTCAGACGCAACAAAATATTCCCTTTGTACCGCATACTGTGTCACCTAATATCAACGATTACTACACAAGCGATGAAAACTTATGGCGATTGGCAGCTACAACTCCAATAGTCACGCCTGCTCAGTGTTGTAATGCTGGAAACAATTTTTCAATTGTAACAACTGTTGTGCCAAGGTGTAACAACGCCGCCCCGTATATTATAGGTGGGACTGTGTATTTTAAGTCTCCGCCAGTTCATCCCCAACATGTTCCGCATTTTGTCAATAGTACGAAAGCTGTTTATGAGCCAGTCAACGAAGACAACGCACAGACTAGGCAAAACAAAAACCGCAATTGCGGAATTTAGTTATAGTGGCGTTATATACAAGGATGCACTGACCAGCTTGCAACGGAAGTTGGGGCAACCACACGCTATAATTGGTGCGCATCTTGATAAGCTGAATGCTTTTCCTCCACTTAAGATGCACAATTTGGAAAATGCCATTAGTTTCTCCTCTGCCATATCTGGCCTCGTAGCAGTTTTCAAATCCTTGTCATTCAACGATGATCTAAAGAGCGTTAACCTGTTAAACCAAGCTGTTAGTAAACTTTCGCCTAACCTCAAGGAAGCTTGGTCAATGCATACTGTTAGGCATAATTGGCAGCGACCAACACTCTTAGACTTTAATAACTGGTTGAAAGAAAAGGCCGAGGGGCATGAAAGATTACGTGTACTTAACTCTAAGGCAAAAAACGAGGAACCAGTTAAATCGAAAACAACCAAAGTTTTTGCAGCCAATAGCCAGGTAACTAGTGAGGCTCAGAATAAGTCTAAGTTTCCGCCGTGCGTTTTGTGTAATGGTAGTCATGCATTGTGGAACTGTGCTGTTTTTAAGGAAAAGAATGCTACTCAGCGAGCAAAATAGGTAGCTGAACAAAATTTTTGCTTCGCTTGCCTAAATGGCAATCATAGTTTCCTGCAATGTTCTAGAGATAAAAAAATTCCCGAAGCCAGAGTGCGATAGCACACATAATGTCTTGCTCCAAGGAACCGAAACAAAAAATTTCCTCGGAAGGAAAATTCAAATGGCTCAAATAAGGCTGGAACAAACAAATCCAAGAAAACACAAACACTTCTACCCGTGCCGCTGTTAGTGATGTACATGACATTGAATCGTCTAAAGGGTTGTTGCCAATTGCAACACTTGGTGTATCCTCGGATGTAACCAGTCTCCTGACGTTGGTTCTTTGTGATAGTGCATCGACTCACTCTTGGGTGTCTTCGTCACTCGTTAACCGTCTCGGTTTAGTAGGGGAGCCCGTTAACTTGTCAATTAGTGGTTTCAATTCAACCACTGTCGTTGAGACTCAGAGGGTCAAGTTTACAGTTTGTTCCGAGCGAAATCATAGTGATTTCCTTTTGTCTCTGTGTGCATATGATAAAGACAATATTCGGATTGGTTCCGAGTTAATCAATATGGCTGATTTGCAGAATAAATATCCACTTATTAGCACCTATTAAACCCACTCGAAAAACTTATGAGTATGTTGAAGTTATTATAGGATAAGATTACTACCACGCCGTTAGACCCATTGAGTTTATCTTGGGAGATGATGAAAACTCACCGTGTTCCATTCGCCTGCCGATAGATTGGGTCAAAATGGTCCGTTGCCGCCGTCCGTTGTTTCTACTTCTTCGTGTTTCAAGTGTGTTGTTGAAGATTCTTCTCTGACCGACCAGATCAAATCCTGGCACGAGTTGGAATCTTATGGTGCTTTCAAACAAGTCGATGCCCGTTCCGCCGCGGATAAACATGCTTTATCTATACTAAATTCTGAAACCGTTCACAATGGCGAAAGATACATTTTGCCTATGCTTTGGATTGATAGTAATGTCAGTCGAACAAACAACTACTACACGTCACTCGCCCAATTTAAAACATTGGAGAGAATGTTAAGTAAAGACCCTGAACTGCGCGAAAGATACGCAGACACAATTAGAGATGACATTAGGAAAGGCTATGTCGTTACCGTCGAACCACATGATCCACGTAAGCCTTCCGATCGCGAGTGGTATCTTCCGCACCATCCCGTCGTAAATCCGAATAAGCCGGGTAAAGTGCGCCAAGTCTTTAATGGGGCTTCTAAGTTTCACGGCACATCCTTAAATAAGTCCTTATTGATGGGTCCGGACCTACTCCAAATTTTAATTTTTTTTACTTTTGCGACTCCGTCAACACAAGTACGCCGTCTCCGCGGATATAGAGGGTATGTTCCTCCAGGTAGGAGTCCTCGCCCGCGATCAAATTTCGCTCCGTTTTTTTTGTGGCAGGAGGATACCACTTCCGATGTGGTAGTTCATCAGTACACTCGCCAGATATTCGGCGCACGGGATTCGCCTACATGCGCCAATTTCGCGTTGCAAAAAAAGCAACAGATAATATGTCCACATACCCTGAGGCCGCCTCAGTCGTAAATGAAAAATTTTATATGGACGATTACTTGGATTCGTTCGAGAACGTTATCCATGCAATTAAAATTAGCCGCGATTTGGTTTCGTTACTGAAGTTGGGAGGATTTAATTCGACTAAATCTGACAGTAATGCTGATGAAATCACTTCAGCAATGAACCCCGCGGATTGCAAAACCTCGTCTTCACCCACCAAGGAAATTTTTAATGGTGCCGAACAATCATCACACGTCTTAGGTCTCAAGTGGTACCAGGTGAAAGATACATTGGTTATTAGCAGATGCGTGGATCGTCCTCTCAATAAGGCCATAACTCAACAAACCGTCTTGTGTTTCGTCTCTTCTGTGTTTGACCCTGTTGGGTTAGTAGCTCCATACACCGTTAGGGCCCGTCTTGTGCCTAAAGATATTTGGAAAATCAGCGGCCAAAGTTGGGACGATGAATTGCCGGAAGACATAAGAGATAAGTTTCTCGAGTGGCACTCCAATCTCCCTCTCTTAGGGCAAATGACTATTCCCAGTTGTTATTTCACAGAGCCTGTGGATCAAATTTAGCTCCACATGTTCGGTGATAGCTGCTAGGACGTTTTCTGTGCGGTTGGATTTTTGCGTGTGCGACTCTCGAGTTCGCACAAAACTCAAATATCCTTCATCTTTGGTAAAGCTCGCGTTGCTCCCATGAAAGCGCTATCTATACCGAAGCTAGAGCTTCAAGCTGCTCTGCTCGCCACACGACTGAAAGATGATATCATGACCGCCCTTGCTGTCTGCATTAATCATGTCTACATAGGGACAGATAGTACTACAGTTTTGCAGTGGCTAAACTCCACTGAAAAATTACCTCTAATCGTCGCCAACCGTGTCGGCGAAATCCTCTATTCGACCACTATTGGTGAGTGGCACCATGTTCTGAGCGGCGGTAATACAGCTGATACCGGTACGCGGGGGACTTCTTTGGAAGCCCTCAAGCATAGCAGCTGGGTTATTGGTCCGAGCATTCTCAGGAGTACTGATTGCCCGTTTATACCCGACGAACGTGTAATCAATAAAGTTCGTTTGAAGGGTCCTTCTTGTGAATTTGATAAATGCTTGGAGACATCATCTTCCTTCGTCACCGATGTCACATCCATCAAACATCCCGAAAACGGGTTTAATTGGGAAAGGTTCAGTTCCTTTACGAGATATAAACGAGTAGTCGCTTTTATGTTGTCGATGCTGCCTTCACATAAGCATTTTCGCGGTAAGGACTTGCGAATCACGGTGAGTGTTTTTAGCTCAACGGGGAGGATTGTATCTTGCTCAGATGGAATCCTCCCCGTCGGGCTAAAAACACTCACCGCTGGCAAGCCTATTAAGAACAGTAAAAAAAATTGCCACATACTCGCCATTTATCGGTTCCGCTGGTATCATCCGTTTCACCGGACGGATGTGCGCTAAGTGAAAACCGAGTTTGATACTAAGCACCCAATATAACTCGACGGCTGACATACCCTAGTTCGTTTGTTAGCCCGCAGCCTCCACCACAAGCATTTTCATCAAGGTTTAGATTACATGCGCTCCGTTATTAATATGAAATATGCAATACTTGGGTTGCGTCGACTACTACGGTCTATCGAAAGTCAATGTGTAACATGCCGTAAATGCAAAGCTAGTACCATCCAGCCAATTATGTCCGATTTA